CACACACACACACACACACACACACTCACACACACTCAGTCTCCCTCGCATCGCCTCTCCCCACTATTCAATCATGCACTCTCTCTCTCGCTCCATCTCTCTCCATGCCTTTTCCAAGGAGAAATGGTTTCCATGGCAACCACCAGCATGCATTTCATGACTATGATGTATGTGTGTGTTTTAACATGTGTGTATTTGTGTGTGTGTTTGCGGGTCTCCTTGTAGACTGAATTAGATCCGTGCGCATCACTTTATCACGGCTCACTTGGCCGTGTCTGCTTTTTATGGGATGGTCTCTGCGGTTGTGATGAACGTCCGCTTTGAGATGACGGAGGACGTCAGTGGGTGGCGCCATTTTGAAAATGCAGACACCAGTTTGAACATTGCTTCCACTGATTCAATGACTTGATGCATTGAAATGTTCCTCGGAACAACTTTCCTGTTATTGCCAGTCGATTGGTTGTTTGCACTCGCAGCAGCAGTAAGCTTAGCTCTGCTCCTCCGATTCTATCTGCAGAAGGTAAAATGCATGTGAACATAAGAAAGCAGATTAAATACAACAGCATGCTCAAAGCAAGGGGATAAAAAAATAAAGATAAAACAGCCCCCTTTTTCTCCCAGCTTCAAATTTCTTGAATATTTTCAGACTTTATTTATGGCACCGCTGAAGATTTCCTGAGCTCGCCTCTGGCCTTGTGTGTACACACGTACCCATATGAACGCATGTAAGTGTCACCTTCATTGATTTATGATGCCTAATAGGGTTGAGCAATTCACCCAGGGTTTTAGAGGAAAGCCATAACCAATATAGGATTTCAGCTGAGTGGCCTCCTGTGGCTGTTGTCTGTGTAAAGGCAATTCCTCGCTTTAACCTGTTAGAGGAATAGGAGCTATAACGCCGTAGCTGCTCCAAAAGTCCCGGGACTAATAACATCACAAGAGGGAAGGTGTGACGGGGCAGTGTGATGGAACATTGGAGATTTAGTGGATATTAAATCCTGGAAGAAACCAGTCATGGTCGGTGCAGGGTGGCTGCAGAGGATGGTGGCTGCAAAGATGAGCTCAGTTTTTGATGGCATCTTATTTTCATTCACTTAATTCAATATGGTATCAAATGCACTGTAAAAAATTAACTGTGTAAATATATCAAAATACAGCTCACGTCCTCATCCACTACACTTTAGTTCCTCCAAACCTGAAATCTCCACATGGTAACAGCTGCTGTTTTCTCTCTCAGGGCTCATTTCCAGGGAACTTGCACTTGGTTCTGGTGTTGCGTCCCACTACTTTGTTCCAGCGGACTCTGTCAGACTTCCTGTTCAAGTTCAACAGGGACGAGTTCAAAATGAAGGTGCCGGCCATCACTTTTTCTTTTTTTTACTCATGTTTGCATGTGTCTAATCTCATCCTACATAATGAATGTATTTCAGGATGCGTTATCTAGGTCACTGCAGGATCATGAATAGCCTAGATGACAAAAAACTAAAACCACATTTTCATTTCAGTAAAGAACTTTCTTTTTTGTATTTTATATGTTTTTAATTGTGTTTTATTGTGTATATGTTTTCATAGGTGGTGATGCTGAGTTCGGTGACTGAGCTCCATGCTTATATTGACCCAGGACAACTCACCACAGAGCTGGGAGGCACACAGGAGTACTGCCACGAGAGCTGGATCTCTCACCGCACTGTACGTACACACAAACACACACATGCACATGTATTCCCACTTTTTAGGCCCTCAGACTGCAAGCAAGGGCTCTGTGTACATTTTCGAATCCTTCGCAGGCAATTGAGGCGTTTGCCCTCATGGTGAAGACCACGGCTCAGACTCTGCAGGCGTTTGGCACTGAGCTTGCAGAGACAGAATTACCCAACGACGCCGAGGCCACCACCAACCTGCTGCACACACACACACTGAAGAAGGACACGATGAAGGTCAGAGAGGCTTTTCTGTCCCTTCTGTCTTTTTAAGCCTAAACTCTAGGTTTTTCTATTTGTCGTCACAATTAAAGTAAAATGTTTTATTCAATTTCCAGGAGGACCTGCAGGTGGCACTTTCTCAAGGGGGACGCCTGTTGGACTGCATCAACGAGCCTCTACAGACAGACCCCGAATACAGCATGACCCATGATGAACTGGAGAATTTGGCGACTGTACAGAGGTAGAGGAAGGGATGAAGGGATGCACAAGTGGATGAAGAAGTTGAACACATGAATGAATCTCCTCCCCTCTTCCTTTCCTTTTCATCCCTCCCTTCTCCCTCTCAGACTCCTGGGTCAGCTGGATGAGACCGAGACGGCGTTCGATGATTTTTGGGAGCGCCACCGCACCAAGCTGGAACAGTGTTTGCAGCTGCGCCATTTTGAACAGCACTTCCGTGAAGTGAGTTCATGGGAAATGTAGTTGCCACCTAGCCACACTGATGACCGATCCTTCGCAAGGTTAACGGAGAATGTGTGTGTGTGTTTTCTAGGTGCGCGCCCAGCTTGATGTGACCTCAGAGAGGCTGTCGGGTTTCTCTGAGATCAGCGTCAGCCCCGCCCACGCCGAGCATGTCCTCCGAGAACTCGGTGGGCACGAGGACAAGGCCTGTGTAAGACAAACAAACAAACACACACACACACACACAATCCCGATTCATAGTGTAGCTCACGTGAAAGAGAAAACACATGCTCAACACTTTCACCTCTGATGCATCCTTGAAGCCATATGGCAAATGACATAATAAATCTCACAACCTGCTCCACCCCCCCCTCGCTGGGCACCTGTGTGTTCACGTGTGGATTAATTAAAAACCTAAAGATTAACTGATTTGCTTAATGCAAGTGTCCCACAGCATCCACAAGAGGTCGCTGTTGCCCCCACTGCTGCTGAACCAATATTCTGTATGTTTGGAATTATTTTTTGACATCTCCAATATTTCATCAGGACGTCCTGGACCGCGCCCTGTCCCTGTCCAGCGAAGGTGACAGGCTGATAGAAAACTCGCACTATGCCGAGGACTCCATCAGGCCGAAGTGCAGCGAGTTAAGGGGGGTGTGCGAGGAGATCAGCGCCACACTGAGGAGCAAGAAGAACCTGCTGCTCAGGGCGATGGAGATGCACCACGCTCTGGAGAAGGTACTGGTGTAGAACAGGGAGGTTCTCCTCAGCACCATGCAAATGTTAAATTCACCACTTCCAACAATGCTGTTCCCTTCAGGCGTCACAGTGGTGTGAGGAGGGCATCTTCCTGTTGGCCAGCCAGCCTGTTGACCGCTGTCAGTCCCAGGACGGTGCTGAAGCGGCTCTGCAAGAACTGGAGCGATACCTGGACACGGCGCCGCTTCACACCCTCGCCGACCGCAGCGCTATCTGCTGCCAGTATGAATCGGTGCTCACCACTCAGCTCAGGGTCAGTCCAAAGTGCCTTTCTTTGTCCATCATGATGTTTCCTGCTGTGGATCAAGTTCACCTGACATCTCCTCTTGTGTTCGATCTCCGTCAGGACCAGGTAGAGAGAGTTTTCCAGAAGCAGGGCTCTGTGCAGGAGATGTTCGAGAAGAGACGCATCAGCTTGAAGAAACTCGCCGCCAAACAGACCAGACCGGTCCAGCCAGTAGCACCGCGACCCGAAGTCAAGTCACCGCACTCCTCGCCCAGTAAGCCTGGATTGATGAATGAATAAAAGAAAAGAAAGAGTGCAGCATACATCAGTGATGTATGGGGATGAATAACACTTTCTTTCTATTTTCTCCCTGCAGATCAACAGAGAAAAGAGAGGAGATACTCTGCAGATAATGCCATCTGCAAAAAGGTTAATCCACGAGAAATATTGAATCAAGTGCTCATATTGTCAGAATATATCTTAAAAAAAGATGTTTTAAATCCCTGAATGTGTGTGATGAAACTCCAGGTGGAGTCTCCTCTTCATAATGGCAGCACCAGACACGCTTCTCTCTCAGAGGAAGAAGAAAACCTGGCAGTGCTTCGGCGGTAAGGGGTCAAAGGTCACGGATAAGAAGAGTCGTAGATAAGGAAACAGTTAAAGGGACAGAGATGCTGTTTGGAATTTGTTGTACAACTTTAAAGGTGTAAAATATGTAGTTGCATTAATGCTAATGGTTTGTGTGGTGTTCCAGTCACGTGATGAATGAGCTGCTGGAGACGGAGAGAGCGTACGTGGAGGAGCTGCTGTGTGTGCTGGAGGTGAGTCACATCAGTCACACGTGTTCCTGTGCACACTACAACTAAAGTTTTTGTTGATTTGCAGGCATGACACATGTATGTAATCTCAAACTGCAGGGCTACGCAGCAGAGATGGACAACCCTGCCATGGCTCCCCTCATCCCCAGCACACTGCTCAGCAAGAAGGACGTCCTGTTTGGGAACATGTCTGAGATCTACCAGTTTCACAAGAGGTAAGCTGGGAAAATAAAATCCTCTGTTGATTATCATGTCCTTTGTGGTAATGGCTATGGAAAAAATAAATGTTTTTAAATGTGCATATTTCTTACAGTTTCCCCAGTGTCAAAAATTCAATAATCTGAATTCTAGGTCTTAAAAAATATTCCATTAATATTCATTTCAACGCTACTTCTGTCTTGATCTTAACATTATCTCTATTTCCTAATTTCCTCAGGACGTTTCTAAAGGAACTGGAAGCGTACACTGACTACCCAGAGCTGGTGGGCCGCTGCTTTTTAGAACGGGTGAGATAAAGTGCTAATTGCTAAAGTGCTAAAGTTAAATCACTGAACAGACCTTGCATGAGGCTTATTATTAATGACTGTTTACTTCTCTGTGCACAGATGAAGGACCTGCAGATCTACGAGGCCTACTGCCAAAACAAACCTCGCTCCGAGAGCTTGTGGAGACAATGCTCCGACTGTGCCTTCTTCCAGGTCGGCCCCTCGCTTCTCAACTTTGCTGGGGCTCCACGACAACAATATACACTTTTTCTTAATCTGTTTGTGTTTTTTGTGAATCAGGAGTGCCAGAAGAAGCTAGAACATAAACTTGGTTTGGACTCCTACCTCCTAAAACCTGTCCAGAGAATCACCAAGTACCAGCTACTGCTTAAGGTGAGATTTGATAAGGTGCTGTGGATGGACCTGCAGTATTTGTGTTTTACGTGAGATGGAGAAAGACTTGCTTTGCTCTCTGCTTTGTGTTTGCAGGAGTTGTTGAAGTACAGTAAAGGCCGTGATGGCTGTGATGACCTACAGGAGGCGCTCTCCTCTATTCTTGGGATCCTGAAAGCTGTGAATGACTCCATGCACCTCATCGCCATCACAGGATATGAGGTTGGTGAGATTTTGCTTTTCTTTTTATTTAGATTTTTCAGAAAACTCCAGCGTGAGAATAAACACCTAAATCCCTGCCTGTATTTTCCCTCACTCAGGGTAACCTCTCGGAGCTGGGTCGTCTGCTCATGCAAGGCTCCTTCAGCGTGTGGACGGAGCACAAAAAAGGCCACGCCAAGGTCAAGGACCTGGCCCGCTTCAAGCCCATGCAGCGGCACCTGTTCCTGCATGAGAAGGCGCTGCTCTTCTGCAAGAGGAGGGAGGAGAACGGCGAGGGCTACGAGAAAGCGCCGTCCTACAGCTTCAAACACTCGCTCAGTGTACGCTCGCAGTGCTCAGATTCGAAGGATGAATATTTGCAGTGAAATATTCTTTGCTAAAGGTCTCTCCTTCCTTTCCTCTCTCAGATGAGTGCCGTGGGAATAACAGAGAATGCTAAAGGAGATAACAAAAAGTTTGAGATTTGGTGCAATTCCAGAGATGAAGTTTTTATTGTGCAGGTGAGAGGTCACTTTTATTTGGATCAAATTGCTCATACTCATAAACATATTTTCATCAAGATCCATGAAGCAGTTTCTGGGACGAGAAACTATTTTATAAAGAACAACTTATAAAACCCTGTGGCATGGCTTGTTGCTAGTGTTGTAATTGCAATATTAGCATATTACCAAATTAATTACATTGTCGATATAAGTGTCTCGGAAATAAAAAACAGCAGGGGTGAAAACATGATCTCCTTGGCCGAGGTAAGAAAGAACCATTCCTTGTCTTTTCCAGGCTCCAACGCAAGAGATAAAAACTGCGTGGGTGAATGAGATCCGCAAAGTTCTGACCCAGCAACTCAAAGCATGCAGAGGTACACACACACACACACACACACACACGCGCGCGCACACACACACACACATACACACACACACACACATACATACATACAACCACACAGCCGTGTTTGCTTATTATATGCACAGCACGCCCTTTGGAAACTGCAGCAAATTGTTGTATCTTCCAGACGCCAGACAACAGAAGAACTTAGACTCTGTTTCTCTGAGTCCCACCAGCAGCAGCACCTCCATCTCTCTCAGGTTGGTGTCACTGCACACACACACACCTACACACACACACACGCCTTTACTTATTGCGATAAGGTCTTTCTTGTCTTTCCAGCCCGTTCCGTAGCAATGGTCAGAAGAACCAGAAGAAGCAGGACGAGAAGAAAGCAGAGCTGAGCCCGACCTCCGATGCAAACTCCTCTTCCTCACCCAAACATAAAGGTGATTGTTTTCATTCATTCTGAATCCTCATGCACAGACACATAAAAACTCTTCATCAACTAAGGTTGAAGTGCTCAGTTTTATCTAAACTTCACTAACCTGTACTCCTCTTTTCTTCATCACCATCATCTTCACGATCTTTCTCTCTGTCTCTCTGCCTCTTTATTTTTCTACTTCTTGGGGGCCACATCTTATCTTTTCGTGATTGACCCGCTCTCCTCTCTCCCCCACATTTCAAAACCATCGCTTCCAGATGAACCGGTGACCAGTCCGACCACTGACAGGTCCTCGGTGGCTAAAAAGCGTTTTACTTTGCAGGGCTTCAGCAATCTGAAGAGTCCTAAAGGTAACAGAGGCAACACAGGAGGTCACAGGGACACAATGCTTAATTCAACTGATACTAAGATACTGCATCTTTTTAAAGATCAAATATCCTTTTCTTCTTCATGAATTAAAAGTTGAAGAGTTGAATAAGAACTGCACGCAGTTAAATCTCGAAAGACGTTATTTATTGAGAAAAATGTCATAATGTTAAAAGAAACATTGCAAGGAGAACATGTGTTCCCCGGATTCCACATCTTCTTCATCCAAAATGGTATTTTAAAAGAAAGTGACTTCAGGGTTGTTTTTCATGCTCACTGACTGGACGTCAACATGTCCTTACATTATTTACGCACCTGCTCCACACTGATATTCAGTTATTCTGTCAAATTCTTCTTCTTCCTCACTTTTTCTTTTCCTCTTCTTCCCCCTCTTCACTTTCTTTCTGCCCGTGTGGCCAGGCTCCGCTCTGAGCCCAGAACACGGCACCAAACGCCACCTGGTCAAGAGTGACCCCACGCCGTTTGGGTTCAAAGGTATATTTCTGTCCCTCAGTAGCAGATGTTTGATTCTAGAGGGCCATCATTCATTATCTTCCCCTCCCTCATTGCTGTTGTGAGAATGGACTTCAGTGCTGGGTTTTTTATGATGTAGATTTCACCCGGGTAGGCGATGAAACTGGATTCTATGGCGTCCAACACCAATACAAGCTTTTCCTACACAGATCATCTTAAATTCACCATCACATGTTTGTGTGGAGAGAAAAAAATGTTAATACAGAGTATCTACACGTCCTGGAAGATTTCAGGTATGGGATTGAAAATATTGCATTATTGGACAATAATAGAAGAGCCCTGTGCCTGCAGAGGGCGCTGTTGCTCTGTAAAAGTTGCACAGAGTGTTAAATGGTATTAAAATATCCTAAACTCCATTAGATTTGCATTTTAATAATTCAGCATCAAGTTTGTACAAGTTTATATGAATGGCAGACTTCCTTAACATGCAAATACTCTGTCGTTTACATTTTCTCTCAGAACTGTACTGTTAACATATGCATGATAACATTTTCATCTTCATCCACAGGTCATCACCATCATCACCTCCTTATGATTGGTATACTAACTGACCAGCAGTCAGAGTGCTTTACTAACCTTATTACCCCGTCAGAGAGCAGAACACTCCTGCGTTTCTAACAGCAACAAGTTAGAGTCTGATCCCACTTGTAGCTCTTTAAAAAAAAAACTCTTCACCGTACGACTCCCTGCTCTGTCTCACCGATTTATACCCGGCTGTCTCTTCCCCTCCGTCCAGAGCCGGCCGCCCATGTCACACTGAGCAGAGTCAAATGGATGAGTACCTCTAGTCTGTTACAGAGCAGGCGGCAAGGTACAGAGCCGCTCTGAGGGACCGGGCCACTGTGGGTGTGTGCTGTGGTTTTGTGATTGATTTTTAACGAGAGGTAAAGTGCCGCAAAATGTCCACTCTCTACCTCCAATCAATCACTCACTCTTCTTCTACCATCGGGTGTTATGGTGGCATGGAGGATAAGGAGATTTAGGTAAAAGGTGCTAACCAACTTATTTTTAAGCACTGGCAGTGAAGAAATGAATCAAACCTTTTTCCTATGATCATCCATTTTTTATTTTTGTTGATGTGATTCACCAGGATCTGTCTCCGTTCATCCTCTGTTTGATTTAGGAGGGTTTGGGCTGACTTGCCTTTGGTTTGATTCGTGGTTTTGTGCTCCTCACGGGGAGATGGATGTATGTGGGGCTGTGACTCTCTTTCCAAATGGCGTTCTGTTTGCTCTTGGTAAAACTCACATTCAAAAATGTTTCTTTCCTATTGTGTGTTCATACAGGTTTTTCTGTGAATGTAAAAGTCCTGCAAAGTTAAAAAGTTAACAGAAAAGTCCGCACAGAAATTGTAAACCTGAAAAAGAACAGAAAACTATTTAGTCTCGCTAATTTCCCAACAACAAACATCACAAAATATCTACTTGAGAAGCAGCCACTTCCTGTAGAGATGTTTTTGAAGACAATTTACTCAATTTCAGTGACCCAGGAAGCATTTTAACGCCACATGGAAAGAGGGTGTGATTGTGTGTGAATACAGATTCACCTGATGTACTTTCCCCCACATGACTCATTTCACGAACCTCTCCCTCTCTTTCTTCGCCTCCACCCATTTACAGGCTGGAGCAAGACGTCTCTCTCGGTGGATGCCTCAGAGGAAAATGACGGCTACTCCAGTGGCGAGGACCCCATGAACTCAGACCCTGAGGATGACGGAGGAAAGAAGCTGGTGAGCCTGAAACCCAAAACATTTAGAAACATATATAAGATATATAAACGGGATGCCTGTTGATGATGTTCAACACCTCTCACCCCCGACTGACCTCTGTGACCTTTGATTCCTTCAGGCCCCAGGAAAGTACACGGTGGTAGCAGACTGCGAGAAGGCGGGACCTCAGGAGCTGTCTGTCAAGAGCGGAGACGTGGTGCAGCTAATCAGAGAGGGAGAGGACGGACAGTGGTAAATATCTTCAATAACGTAGCCACAGTTTGATTCCAGCGTTAAATCCACCTTAATGGATCTTTATAACTTTGTAAAAATGATTGTGTGTGTTGGACTACATAACGGATATTGATGTTGCCAGGTAACGTTACGGTTTTTGTGACTCTCTGCAGGTTTGTGAGGAACCTTCGCAGCAGTAAGGAGGGCTGGGTGGCGGCAGCAAACCTCCTCAGCCTCATCTCAGAGTCCAAGTCGTCGCAGTCGCTCAGCAGCTCAGGTATCCGCATGCGCACCGTGCACACACCTCAACATTGTTCCCATCTCTCCTGCCCCTTAACACTTCCTGCATTTGTGCATTTGTGCATTTGTCCAACAGACGGCAGTGTCTCCGGCAACCTCAGCACTTCTTCCAGCTGCAGCGAGACCTACACCAGCTACTCCGACATCAAACCCTGAACCGACTGCACTTTTTCCCCCAAACTCCACCTGAAATCATTGGCAGGTGAAAATTCAAGAAACCTGAAGCTGCCTCTGACAGACTCTCAATGGTCACACACTCACATACACTTATTGCAGTTTGTCTGATCCAACCAGAAACTCGAGAACAATCATGGTATCTGCAAATGTTCTGCTGAGTTATGACTACACCCAGTTTTTCTGAGGATTCACAGCCACTTAGCTCTAAAATAACTCATTTCCACTCGACAGTATTACTCTTTTTATGTGTTTTACATTTTAAAATATTCACGTAAAAGATACAAGAACTCAATCACCTCCTGTCCGGCCTTTTTTAAAATTTATTTAAAATAAGATTATGTAGCATTAAAGAGAAATTCAACTGCACTAACCTGTGCATCAACGTCCACAGGTAAATTCAGAGTGGTATATTACATGATACTACGGCTTTAGTGTCAGACACTGTGAGAAATGGCAGCTGGCTGCAACATGAAGGAGAGAGAAATGCTTTCGGTGCATCTTTGAGCGTCACTGAGCAGGTGGAACATTGTGGACATGTAGCTGTAAGTCTTTTTATATGAATGTGGGCGGCACACAGGCTGTTACAACCCTGTGGTGTCTGGTGTAGAAGCAGTTTTTTTCAGAATGCTGTATTCATCCCACATTTTTAACAAGAGCTTCCCTCAACCCTTGTTTTGACTTCAAGGAAACAGTCTAATGAATCACCACGTGAATGTCACCAACAGCACCACCTCGTGGTCACTTGTCTTTCCCTTCCCTTTTTATTTTGTGTTAAATACGAATTATCTAACTCAGCTCTGAACTACTCTGGATTTACCTCTCAGGAAGACGTCATGTGGGCAAGCAGGTGTGACTGCATACCTGCGTGTGTCGACTACATGTGTTTGTATGTGTGCATTCTTGCATATGTGTGTTGTGTGATGCAAATCCAACATGTGTTTCAACACCTGCCCTCAGAAAGGCTGTTAAACACATTCAAGTGGAAGTTGTTTCAGATTTACTCTGTAGACTCTTGAGCTGGGTCCATTTTTAGTTTGCAAAACTTTATTGAAACTACTGATCAGTGGAGTCAAGGCCACAAAATCAAAACCCAGTGCACATGCACGTGAATCTGTTGCACATTTCCTGTTCTGTTTGTGTCATGGCCGCACTGCTCACCTATCTTCCCTCTGCGCTGCAGCAGGAACAAAAGCAGGCTTTGTCCTCATCCTTTGCTCCCAGCCCCGCCGAGGCATGTGACAGCCGGCACTTCTCCGCGAGCGAGCGAACAGGGCCGACCGGGGCCCAGACCTGCTCAACACGTTTGCGGCACCAACCCATGACAGCAATAAGTGTTTACTCGCCACCACAATGTAGCTTAGTCACCATCTTAGTGGAGTTAAAAAAACAAATAATGATTGTAAGTTATATAGCAGAGAAGGGGGTGAGAAGGTCAAGGCCTGGTTGGTTAGTTTGGCCTGGTAGTGGAGATGATAACAAGTTAATGGCACACCTCTGCCAAACAGCTGCTGTGGCACACCCATCAACACACACACATGTTTTATACTCGAAGATTTCTGCTGTATCCACAAGCTGCACTGTAAAACAATCACATCCTCCTTTCCACCCTCACTGTTGAATGTCTGACACAAACACACCAAGATGTCGCACTAAAACCAGCCGCACCCATGACTAAGCAGCTGTGCTCAACAAAGCCACATTCAACACCACTGTGGTTTTGTTGGCCATGATTAGAGCTCTTGATATTTTTTCTTTTGTTTGAGAAAATGCATGTCGTTCCCTTGTGAAAGGAAAAGGATCCTCTGCAGAAAAGCTCTCGGATCTTGAACCGTGTGCTACAAACCTGCAAACTAAACTTTGGCGTTGTATGTGTCGGTTTTGTGTTACACTTGTACAGATGTCGTTCTCTCTATACCTCAAGTTGTTTTCCTCAAGAGCATGCATATCGTGAAGAGGGTCATGCTTTTTTTCATGCGTCTCTGTGTCATCATCGACTCTTTTTGTGGCATGCTCCTCATCCGCCTCAATTCCAAACCTCTCACGTCAGAGTATTTTTTACCAGGCCCTGTTGTACATGATGAGAGTTTATTTTCTGCCCTCTCGTGAAGCTGACGCCGGGCACTAAACTTGTCAGTGTTTGATCGTGATCACGCAATAGATCTTATTGAATTATTTGTACTCCTCGCGTGGGGTGGAGAGACCCGAAGGGTAATTCTATTTTTTTGTTTCTTTTTATGCAGCACATTGCAGCGACCACTGTCCTTATTTCCTATTGTATATCTACTGAGTATGGTGTTGATATAAAGATATTATTATGAGACATATCTGTGTATATTTTGTAAATATGT